AAGGCTCTGTCTCAAAAAAAAAAAAAAAAAAAAGACCTTGATCTCTCTGAATTGTTTCCCCATCTGTGAAGCCAGAGGTGTTAAAGTCGTCTCGAGGTCTTGCCAAGAAGAATTAATAAAGCAATGATATTAATAATAGCAACAAGGATAACAAATTTATTGAGTTCTGCTGTGGACCAGGTACTGTTGTAATGAACCGTAAGAGGGAATAACATTTTACGTCTACTTTATAAAAGAGGAAAATGAGACACAGTGGCATGGAAGGCTCCAGGAGAAGGGAGGCATCTGATTAAATTTTGGAGGAAAGACTGAGGCTCGGAGGCCATAGTGAAGAAGACCCACGGTACACAGGGTAAGGCCCGGTGCCAGCGTAACCGCGCAGTACTCGCTGCTGATGTTACCGGAGAGTCGAACACGCCTCCGAACCCGGCAGCCCAACCCCGCCCCCAGCGTGTCCATGGCAACAACCTCTGCACATGCGCTTCTGCACCCGCGCCGGGCTGGGGGTGCCCACCCAAGCCGGACGCCGCCCTGGCGGAAGCAGCCTGGGTGGGTCAGGCGACCCGAGCGCTGGGAGGACTTTTAAAGAGACCTTCCCCACTCGGGCTGTTTCGCCCGCGGGGACTGCTGACGGTGGGGGCTGGGTAGCCTCAGGAGTCGGGATCGAGGAGGTAGAGGACAAGCATGGCAGTGTGAGCCTCCGGAGGTGGCCAGGAGAGATGGGCTGTGTAAATACCTCCCAGGGCAATAACGGAATGAGTGTCCGAGGACCAGTACCTGAGAGGGGACCATGGATCTGCACCTTCTAGGGGTAGGGGGGAACTGGGCTCCACGGAACTAAGTCAAGGCGGTTAAGAGGGATCACAGGCCCAGCTTGAGATAGTTACCCTCTATTTCCACTGTCTGCTCTCAGCATTCTGCCACCTTCCTACCCCATCGGAGTGCTGGGCCATGGCCAGATCTCCCGCGCCCGGTTCAGTGATTGTCCCAGACTGGCACGAGAGCGCCGAGGGTAAGGAGTACCTGGTCTGCATCCTGCGCAAGAACCGCCGGCGGGTGTTTGGTAAGTGCCCCTCTCCTACACTGTTGCTTGTCTCTCCCAGGGGAGAATAATGCCACTTGTTGCTCCCTGGGAGATGAGGGCCTCCTCCACTGCACTCTTCAGGCTTGAGGAATCCCTCCTGGAAGCCCTGTACCTGGGACCCCCAGCCCCAAATCTCCTTAGAGCTAATTCCATCGTCAGAGCCACCAACATGGAAACAGCCGAAACCCTGCCAGCAGCCATTGTCACAAGAGATGCTGTTGGTTGAGCCCTCACCTGGTGCCAGGCCCTCTGCTGGGCACTTTACACAATGGACTCCCATTTAACCTCTCAACAGAACGTTTCCCAGCCTTAGCCAAGATCACGTCCAGTCCTGTAAACACAGGAGAGGCTCTTTCCACACGCTGCTGTCTAAGAAGCCAACTCACTCAGGCAGGACCTGACTTACAGGCCAGAAGAAGGGTCTGGAATCCCCTCAGCTATGAAACGTAGCTCAGGCCAGGAGAAACCGCCAGAAGGCTTACGACCAGAAAATGAGACAGCTGAAGGACCAATATTTGTGAACAATTCACTTCGTTTTGTTTTGTTTATGAGACAGTCTCACTATGTTGCCCTCTGTAGAGCGCTAGGACATCACAGCTCACAGCAATCTCAAATTCTTGTGCTTAAGCGATTCTCTTGCCTCAGCCTCCCAAGTGGCTGAGACTATAGGCGCCTGACTGTTCTTTTTGTTGTGCTTGTCATTGTTGTTTGGCAGGCCCGGGCTGGGTTTGAACCCCTTAGCCCCAGTATATGTAGCCAGTGCTCTAACCACTGAGTTATGGGTGCTGAGCCACTTCTTCGTTTTTTGGTTGTTTTTTTTTTTTTTTTAATAATTAGAAAGGCTCAGTGCCTGTGGCTTAAGCAGCTAGGGTCCCAGTCCCACATACCTGAGCTGGCATGTTCGAATCCAGCCCGGGCCGCCAAACCAACAATGACGGCTGCAACCAACAAAGATGGCTGCAGCCGGGCATTGTAACGGGCGCCTGTGCTCCCAGCTACTTGGGAGGTGGAGGGAGGAGAATCGCATGAGCCCAGGAGTTGGAGGTTGCTGTGAGCTATGATCCTACGGCACCCCCTAATACAGCCATTATCCCTCTAGATCCCACGTAGCTGAGAATACTGGATTTGGGATCACATATACCTAGGCTTGACCCAGGCTCCACCACAGCTGTGTAGCCATGAATAAGTGGAATCTCCCCTCAGATTCTACCTCTGTAAAACCCTTGGGTGGGGAATCTTACTATTAACCCCAGAGGGTTGCTGGGGAAATTAATGTACTGCAGTGAGCAGTGTCTGGCACACAGTAGGTGTTCACTGAAGGTTTTTTATGTCTTGAGTTGTGGTGGGTAGAACACAGTGGAGTGAAGTTAGAGTGATTTTCTGGGCATTACATAGAGCTCACAGACCATGTCATATATGCCACAGACAAGATCAAGTATCAAGTAGCATAACTTCAAGGGATGATAGTGGTGGCGTTGAATTTTTGTAGTGTTTTACTTACCAGCAGATATTTTGGGGGTTTTGTTAACAGCAGGGTATACCCACCTTAGTGTGTCTTCCAGGGGGTGTCATCTAGGCCCCCCCAAAAGGTTGAGAACAGCTGATAAATAAATATCAGCAAACTGACTATAAGAACTTAGGCCAGTCTCTTTGTGTCTCAGGCCTCTGTAAAATGAGGGTGAGCATTGAGAACCATGGATGGTTATTTAGCCCTGATGAAGCCCTTAAAGATTGACGTTGTCGGCTCAGCGCCTATAGCTCAACCAGCTAAGGCGCCAGCCACGTACACCTAAGGTGGCGGGTTCGAATCCCCAGCCCGGACCCACCAAACAACAATGACGGCTGCAACCAAAAAATAGCCGGGCGTTGTGGCAGGCGCCTGTGGTCCCAGCTACTTGGGAGGCGGAGGCAGGAGACTCGCTTGAGCCCAGGAGTTGGAGGTTGCTGTGAGCTGTAATGCCAAGACACTCTACCCAGGGGGACAGCTTGAGGCTCTGTCTCAAAAAAAAAAAAAAAAAAAGATTGACGTTGTCCAGTCCAGATCATGATGGGGCAAGTACAGGGTTGAGCCCATATTATAGTAAGTTTTATGCTGCCATAACAGAATACCAAAGACTACATAATTTATAATGAACAGAATTATTAGCTCATGGTTCTGGAAGCTAGGGAATCCAAACACATGGCACTAGCATCTGATAAGGGCTCTCATGCTCCATCGTCCCATGGCAGAGGCAGAAGTGCAAAAGTGGGTGGGAGTTAGAAAGCAAGAGGGGCAGCTCAGTGCCCATAGCACAGTGGTTATGGCACCAGCCACGTATACCGAAGTTGCCAGGTTCAAACCCAGCCTGGGCCAGCTAACCAACAATGACAACTGCAACAAAAAGAAAATAGCCAGGCATTGTGGCAGATGCCTGTAGTCCCAGCTACTTGGGAGGCCGAGGCAAGAGAATTGCTTGAGCCCAAAAGTTTGAGGTTCCTGTGAGCTGTGACGCCACAGCACTCTACCAAGGGTGACAAAGTAAGACTCTGTCTCTAAAAAAAAAGATAACTGACTCCCAAGATGATATTAATCCATTTATGAGTGTGAAAGCAGAGCCCTTCTGACCTCCCATCTCTTATTAGGCACCCCCAACAATGTTGCATTGGGGATTAAGTTTCTAACACTTGGACTTTGAGGAGTATTTTCTAGCCATAGCACCCTCTGACACCACCTGGCTCTCTTTTTGCCCTAGGGCTGCTTGAGCGGCCAGTGCTGCCCCCACCTGTGGCCATCGACACTGCCAGCTACAAGATCTTTGTGTCTGGGAAGAGTGGTGTGGGCAAGACAGCAATGGTGGCCAAGCTGGCTGGCCTGGAGGTGCCTGTGGTGCACCATGAGACCACTGGTGAGTGCGGCCCCAACCCTTTCCCATCCTGGGAGGGCTTCCCTAGGGTACATGCAAGAACATGGCCCTGGACCACACAAGCAGGGTTGATACCCAGATCCACCACTTAGTGCCTTGCAGAGTCACTTCACCTTTCTGAGCCTACATGGGCTCCTCTGTCCCAAAGGGATGATAGGACCAACCCCATAAAGCCACTGTGGGGTTGATACCAGAGACAGTGGTGGTCACATGCCGGACATCCAGCTGGCACAAGGTAGGTGCTCAAGAAGTGCAAATCTTCCTTTCTTGTTTCTTTCCACTGGATGCTCATAGATCCATCATGTTGCACTATGCCCAGTATCCCGGGACTTTGGATTTCCCTGTATATGTGACAAATGTTTTGTCATACCCAGGACTAACTTCCTGGTATCCAAAGGCTCCTCCAGGCTGGGCCCCTTTTTCCCCATTAAGCTATGAATTCTCCTACATCAGGGTTATGCTTTTCTCATCAGACTGGGAACCCACCAGGGCAGGGATGTACCCCTCCATCCTCTTTCTTCTTGCCCCCCTCACCTTCTCCACATCCACCTCTTCCATGCTGAATGGCTGACCCCCGACTCTCCTCAGGCATCCAGACCACCGTGGTATTTTGGCCAGCCAAGCTGCAGGCCAACGACTGTGTCATCATGTTCCGCTTTGAGTTCTGGGACTGTGGGGAGTCTGCACTCAAAAAGTTCAATCACATGCTCCCGGTGAGCAGTCAGGAGGCCTGGGGGGTGGGTTCTGGGAGGGGCTGCTTGTTCGAGGTGAGCAACTGAGTACAGATGTCTAAGTCAGGCCCACCTTGTGTGCAGGGACCTGAGCTGGGTGCTAGTGAGCCAAGGGTACTGCCTTGGGTGGTATAGAGCTCTAAGCTGGCACTGGGGACTGAGTCCAGCCCATACTCCACCCTACGATGTGCCACTCCCCGCTCAGGGCCTCAGTTTCCTCATCTGTGAAAGGGGGGACTGTTATTGATCCTTCTCAGAGCCCTGCAGCTAACAGGAGGATTCTGGTCCTGTGGGCACATGGTGACATGCGTCTCCGTCCCAGGCTTGCAAGGAAAATGCAGATGCCTTCCTCTTCCTCTTCTCTTTCACCGACCGTGCCTCCTTTGAAGACCTCCCTGGGCAGCTGGCCCGTGTAGCCGGTGAGGCCCCTGGTGTCATCAGGATGGTCATTGGCACCAAGTATCCTTTGAGTGACCCCTTGGTAAGGCACAAGAACAAGGGGACAAGGACCCAGCCTCTGCCTAGCTGTGGGGGCCAGCCCCTGGGCTGTTATATACAGGATACAGTGTGGCTGTACCCCATGTGGTAGGGGTCTTCCATGGGCATGGGACCGCAGGGGGAGGGGAGGCTGGGTCTGGTGGGAGTTGACCAGAGGTGCCCTGCCAGGCTCCTTGACCATCCTCCAGATTTGACCAGTACATGCACACAGATGTGCCAGAGCGTGACCTCACAGCCTTCCGGCAGGCCTGGGAGCTACCCCTACTGCGGGTGAAGAGTGTGCCAGGGCGGCGGCTGGCTGATGGGCGCACGCTGGACGGGCGGGCTGGGCTGGCTGATGTTGCTCATGTGCTCAATGGCCTTGCTGAGCAGCTATGGCACCAGGACCAAGTAGCAGCTGGCCTGCTGCCCAACCCTCCAGAGAATGCCCCTAGGTGAAGAGTGGTGGCATCATGAGTGAGCCCCACTTTCAATCCTTAGATGACCCAGGATGAAGGGCAGGGCCTAGGGCCTAGGGCCTAAGGCTGGTGCAGAAATATTGACCCCATGCTGAGGACTGGCCAGAGGAGGCTGTGGCCTGAGAAGACTCTGGCCCCAGCAACGCTTTCCTTGCAGAACTCCTGGCAATGAGGTGGGGGCACAGCCCCCAGGGCAGGGGTCTCCTCTCTTTCTGCTGCCTTTTCACCTTCAGCAGCACCGTGGAGGGTATCTAGGGAGCTGGGTGCCTCAGCAGGCCTCTGGTCCTCAAGCAGCTTCAATCCAGGCCCTGGATTAGTTGAGGTGAAACCACCTGCTATAACAGATAAACCTGAAATCCACAGAAATGTTTTTCTTGCTCAGGTCTCATCTTGGGAGGATGCAACGGTGGGTGGGGGGCTTTGCTGCAAGCACCCATTCAGAGACCCAGGTCACTCTGGGGCATCAGTGTCCAGTCAGCAGATGGGGACAAGTGGAAGTGGAAGGTCATCTAGGAGGTCTTTGTGCACCACGCCTGGCAGGGGTGCCTCATGTCTGCCCATATCCCAAAGGCTAGCACCTAGCACCAGCCACATGGTCACATGGAGCTATGGGGAGGCTGGGAAATAGTGTGCCTGTGTATGCAGGAGGCAAGGCCTTCCCTCTGCCAAGCCTTGCCAGGTCATGAAGTTCTCAGGCTTGGCTCAGGACAGGGGCCTTGCCAGCCCAGGGATGAATTTCCTGGTATCTGTCATAATTTACTGGGCATCATTAGCATTGTAAAGTTCCACACTGGCAAGTCCATGCTCATGACCCAAGTGAGTGTCCCTTAAAGCAATGGAGGGTGGGAGGACTGTTGTGGACTCAAGATCTGATTTGGACACCCTCAGGTTGCTTCCACTCCTCCACATGGGTGGGCTCCAGGTGACAGCCTGTTGCTCTGCCCAGGCTGGCAACAGTTGCCAATATCAGCAGCACCATGCTGGATGCCACTCCTTCTCTTGGGCCATCTCACCAGATGGGGTGAATGAAGGTAACAGGTTATAGGGCTGTCTTGGTGTCATCTGGGAATAAGGAACCCTAAGTGAGCCTTCAGCTCCAGTCTTGGTGTCCCCAGCCACCCTCAATTGGGTAGCCTCCTCTGGGTAGCCAGGGGCACATGGCTAGCATTAGTGGGTTGGGAACAGGAGCATAGGGGCTGACCCAAAAGAATTCTGGCCAGTCTTCACTTTGGCTAGAGATGCACACAACCCAGACTCTCCACGAAGACACCTTCACATTCAAAGTCTTCAGTTTCCAGTTTTCCAATTTCTGCTCCTTTCCCTTCTACATGGCATTCTTTTTTTTTTTTTTTTTTTTTTTTTGAGACAGTGCCTCAAGCTGTCCCCCTGGGTAGAGTGCCGTGGCATTATAGCTCACAGCAACCTCCAACTCCTGGGCTCAAGCGAGTCTCCTGCCTCCGCCTCCCAAGTAGCTGGGACCACAGGTGCCCGCCACAGCGCCCAGCTATTTTTTGGTTGCAGCCGTCATTGTTGTTTGGCGGGTCCGGGCTGGGGATTCGAACCCGCCACCTTAGGTGTATGTGGCTGGCGCCTTAGCCGGTTGAGCTATAGGCACTGAGCCTCTACATGGCATTCTTCAAGGGCAGGTGAAGACTACTTCCCACCCCTGACCTCAAGGCTGCTGTAGACCAGCAGAGCCTTTGGCTTTCAGGTCTGTCTTTACCCAGGTCTTGCTGTTGGCCTTGAAACTGGTTTTCTTTTTCTTTGAGACAGACTCCAAAGAAGTGCCATGGCCTCAGCCTACCTCATAGCAATCTCAAACTCCTGGGCTCAAGCAATCCTCCTACCTCAGCCTCCTGAGTAGCTGGGACTACAAGGCACCCACCACAGTGCCTAGCTAGCTTTTCTATTTTTATTTTTATTTTATTTTAATTAATTAATTTATTTAGACAGAGTCTCACTCTGTTGCCTGGGTAGGATGCTGTGGCATCATAGCTCACAGCAACCTCAAAGTCCTGAGCATGAGGGATCTTCTTGCTTCAGCCTCCCTAGTAGATGGGACTATAGGTACCCACCACTATGTCTGGCTAGTTTTTCTATTTTTAGTAGAGATGGTCTTACTCAAGCTGGTCTTGAACTCCTGAGCTTAAGAGATCTGCCCCCCTCACCCTCCTAGAGTGCTAGGATTATAGGTGTGAGCCACGAAGCCTGGCCTAGTTTTCTTATTTTTAGTAGAGGCAGGGTCTCACTTTGCTTAGGCTGGTCTCAAACTCCTGATCTCAAGAGATCTTTCCAGCTTGGTCTCTCAGATTGCTAGGATTATAGGCATGAGCCACCAAACCCATCCTTGAAACTGGGTCCTGATTTCCCTGAGTTAGAGTTTTCTCAATTGTAACCTACCAGAAAATCACTGGGAAGAGTGAAAATCTAATCTCTGCATTTGGTCCTCCAGTCGGCCCTCACCGAGTGGTCCCAAGCCTGACAGCGTCAACTCCCAGTGCTGTAGTTTGAGTTTGCCATCATCTTTTGGGGGAGACTTCCTGATGCATACCCTGGGTGGGGTGCTGGGGACACAAAAATGAACCAGAGCTGGTCTCTGCCCCTCAAGAGCTTCCGATCTTTGTTGAGGACAAGTTAGGCATCAGGAATGGTTGGAGTCCATCCAGTAGGTGATGTTATTGTGTAATGCCGTTGCCATTTGGCAGAATGGGAGGGAGGTTCACCATGAGAGCCCATTCACCAGCACAAGATTCCATCTTCCCACTGGTGAGTCATGGGTTGAGCAGGAGATATAGGCCATGTTCTCAGGAGGCCTGAGGAAGTTTTGGGGTGGTGGGCAAGGCGTCCCATCAGCTGTTAGCAGGGTTAGCTCTCAGTGAGGGGGAGGCCAGAGGATCAGGAGCAGAGTAGGAGAGGGGAGCAGCCTGAGCATGAAGTTTAGCTGGAGCTCGGCTCCAGTTAGGGAAGGTGCATTGCCACCAGGGGCAGGTTTGTGGGATAACCTGGTCAGCATGCCACATTGCTCAGCACAAGGAATGAGAAGATTGAGTACCCCTGGGTAGCTGGCTCTTGGGAGAGGGTGGAGGGTCATCACTTTCTCAGGTCTGGTAGGGGCAGGGTTTGCTTGTGGGACTCCAAGGTGGGTGGCAGGAGCAGGTGGCCAGCTCCATGCACTGGTGGGGAGGTGGGCGTCACCCCTAGGCTGCCCCTAAGCCCCAACCAAGTAAGGTATGTTGTGTCCCGTGTGGGGAGGGCTTTTATGTGAGCAAAGCAAGAAAAAAGCCCTGACTGGGATTCAGGAGACAGGGCTGTGGCTCAGCTACCTCATCTGTAAATGGGGATAATAATACTCCCTCACAGAGTTGAAAGGATTATGAGATGTTGAACTGGAAAGAGCTTTGTAAATGGAGGACTTCCTAGTACTATTCTGTGGAGGGAAGGGGATCCCAGAGGCCAAGGATGACCATGTAAAAAGCTCAGAGTTAAGAGCACTAGACTCCAGAGTCCAACAGACTGGGTTTGAACCCTGAGTTTGAATTCCCCAAATCTGAATCAATTTGGGGAGTCTTGGACAAGGTCTCTAGGTCTCTGCTCTTCTGTAAAATGGGAATAATCATGGTGCTTACCTCCCAGGGGTGTTGGGGGAATAGAAATGGCCAGAGGCTATTTTTAAGGCCTAAAGGCAGAAGAGACAGCTGGCAGGGCTGTGGGGGAGCTGCAGAGCTGTGGGAAGGAAGACTCTGAGCCCATGGAGTGCCAGAGCTTATTTGATGAATGCCTGCAGATGGGTGGGCAGAGGCCGGGCCGTGTGAGTGTGTGCCCTGGGCAGGAGAGGGGCTCTTGGGAGATTGGCACAGCAAGGGGAGAGGGCCTCACAGTGCTGCAGTTTGGGTTCATCACCATTTTCATGGTGGCCTTTCCCCTGGTGCCCCTGTTCATTCTGATGAGCAACTGGGTGGAGATCCGACTGAATGCCCACAAGTTCATGTGCGAGCACCGGCAACCAGTAGCTGAGTGGCACAGGGCACCAGGATCTGGCTGCTCCTCCTTGAGGCCATGGTCCACCTTTTGGTTATGGTGAATGAGAGCTCGGTAGAGGAGGGGAATACAGGGTCTGGGAAATGGAGGTCAGAGACTGGGGAAGGGGGCTCAGGACTAGGGAAATAGGGAGCTGGCACTGGAAATCAGAGTCAGAGGTTGGAAAACAGGGAGCAGAGTGCTAGGATTCTGGCCACAGGGTCATCCTGTCGCGGGAGTGGGTTTGGATCCGAGTAGGGCTGAGTTGGGTATTGGGCCCTGAACGCCCTCCCGCCCTGCAGACTTTCCTCATCACCTTCACCTCGGACCTTCTGCCGAGTCTCCTGTACCTGGCAACTTCTACCTGGCCCAGGGCAACCACACGCCTTGCAGGTGCAGGCCAGAGCGGAGAGCGGTGGGAGGGACCAAGCGCTGAGCTCTAGTGGGCGGGACCTGGAGGGAGGGGCGGGACCATGGGGAGGGTGGTGTCCTGAGTGAGGGTGGGGCGGGGCCTAGCTGGAAGGGCGGTAGGCTTAGTCTGGGGGCAGGTGACTGCGCAGAGCCGGCCGGGGTGAGTGCTGAAGCGGTTAGGGTAGAGTTCTAGGGGCGAGAGTGCGGGGCTGGGAGTCGGGAGAGCCTCTCTGGACCCGCAAGGCAAGTGAAAGTCCTTTTGCGACGCTCACGGGAACCTCACCCTTTTCTACTGGAAGCTACTGGCTTCATCATCATCTTCAGTCCTGGACAGACCCGGTTTAAGTTCACTCTCTGCAGTGGAATGGCTGGAAACGGGGGGGATATAATATAAGAGGATCTACTTTGCACTTGCACAGGGCCTAGAACACTGTGAAGTCCTATCACTGATATTAATATTATTATTATCTCTTGGCAAGAGACCTGGCGAAAGGAGAGGAAGCACTCTCCCTTCAGCTTTAAGACCCTCTTTCCCTAGCCCTGCCTCTAACAGAGTTCTTTTTGTTACAGGATTCGAATCATACCAATCCTACCTCTGTGTCTTTGGGCAAATGACAATTTCTTTATGTTTCAGTTTCTTCACATGTAAATTGAGGATAAAATTATATTATGCCCATCTCAATAGAGTTCTTGTGAGAATTAAATGAATTACTGTCCGGAAAACCCTCAGAGTAGTGCTCCATAAATTAAGATTGCTAAGGCAATTATTCTTTCTCTAGCCTCCCTCCTCTGCAGCACGTAGTGTTCTTCCCGCGCCTCATCGCCTGGCTTATGCCCATGAGCCCAGCCACCCTGGCTATCAAGAAAAAGCGCGAGCACTACCTGGCCAAGCAGGCGCGGGCTGACAACCCGGAGGTGCTAT